AGTATTTGTCCAGGGGCCTGGAGGCCCAGAAAGTGGACAGTACTCAATTCCTGTGCGCCATTCTGGAAGCAGTAGGCCTTCACGCACGACAGGCATCTCCACTGCCCTCTTCACACTTGTCGTATGAGTTGTATGGTTCCCCGCACAACTGGGGAGAGCCCCTCACTTTCCAGGAACTCAATTCTCCTTCCCATGTGCATCCAAACCAGCAGGGCCAGCTACCTGAAGTGGAGGGGGGTGCGCGGTAAGACAATCCCTGGGGTTCCTCTCATACACATTCCTTGCAGTAAAGATGCCTCCACTCTGGATGACCACCAATTTTCATGGATCCCCACGACTGCTCTCCTCACCCAATGTCCAGGCAGGCAGGGGAGATCCGGGATCCCCAGTAAAGGGCTCTGCAACTTGGAGTCTAGAGTCTTGCCCTTGAAGGAGTCAATGGCATGGTTGCCCAGTGAATTTATCATAATCGTGATGGCAGTGATGTTGGGCAGCATGAAGAAACTGGGTAGAACTACGAGGGCAGAAACTAGTCCAGAAAAGAGGGGCCAGTCGGATGCCAGAAGGAGCAGACAGGTGGCTGCATTGGTGCCCGGGACCAAGCCTACACTGGACCTACCATGTCCTGTTGCCCCAGAACCCCATGGGTGACCATTATGGTAGCCCAGTGCCCAGTCATATCTCCTCAGCATCAGTCAAACCTCAGTTCAGATTGGGAGAGGGATGAGGTACACGTGAAGGCAAAAGGGTGGATAGTGAGTCATGTTGCTCGACTCTTGAAGCCCGCTCCCTCTCCTGATCCGGGATGCCTGCTGGTACAACCTGGATGAATGAAGACAGGCAGTGATGCTCAGCCTGTTGAAGGAACACACCTGTGGGGGCAGGAGTGGGCAGTCCACCAGCAGTTGAAAAAGTCTAACTCCACCCCAACATGTGAGCCCCATACTGTGGCCCCCATGGCAACAGATTAATAACTAGTGTCACCTTGGGCATCATAGTGACCCCAAAAGGTAAAGTGGGTATTAGCAAACCCATTAGGCATATGGGAAGACAGAGGGTCAGAGAAGGCATGAGAAAGTGCTAACACCCCCAAAGACAAACTTCTGGTGTTCAACTCACTCCAACATCCTCCTCCCTGTTCCTTGTTCTCCACTTCATTCACCCAGGACCTGGTGATAATGGAGGTCCCTTCTGTCAGACCCAAACAGCTCTGATTACCATGGTAATTAATAAACAACCACTCCAGGGTTCTCAACAACATAATCCTTCTGGGGGCGGGGGGACAGTAAGAGGGATCATACTACCTTAGGGCCAACACGCCACCCTTTGGCTGGCCTGGCACAAGCACATGAATACCACCCGGCGAGGAAGGGACTGCCAGTCAGACCCAGGGGACAGATGGGGGCCTGAGGAAGTGCAGGTGCCTCCTCACCCGCTGGGCCTGCGGGCAATGAGCCAGAATGCTGCTTCAGCTTCTCATCACAGAGTTGAGCCACAGCTGTGCCATGCTGTTACTGGGGAAAAACATGAATCCAAGTCCATCCAGCAGGCCTGGCAGAATGAGGGAACCTGAGGGGCCACGGCAGAGGCCACCGGAAGGAGGCCAAGGTGAGAGCCCTCTCATCAGATCAAAAGATCGACAGCCCGAGTGTCCGCATACGAACCAGAAGAAACCCACCACTGGGGCACCCGGGATTGAGGTAGAAGAACATGTGTGTGATCCTAATGTGGTGACGCTGGGAAGCACGGAGAAGCCAGATGCAGCGCCTTGCAGCAGGGCCCAATTCAGAAAAGAGAGCACTGAGCAGCCGGAAGGCACACTGTGCTTCCCCGAGCCCCGGGAGGGCCTGCTGCTCCTCAGCTCCTGCTCTGCCCCTGAGCATTTTTCTGCGGCCTTCTCCTGCCTTCTTGTCTTCAGTCTGGGGCACAGTGTGAAGCCCAGAGGGAGACCAGATACTAGTTGCCACCCAGAAGGTTCCAGGTGAGCTGAGCCTGCAGCAAGTGCCCAGTTGACAGTGTCCAGCACTGCCAGGCACGGCTCCCAGCCCAGTCTGGCCCACATGGCAACAGTGCATGGGCTGGACTAGGTGCACAGCCCACAGGGCCTCAGCAGCCCACATGCCAAAGAGCTGGCTGCTGGGGAGGGAGCAATGTGGTGCCCTGGGTTGCGAGCAAGGGAGCATTTCCTCTGAGAAATCAGAACCTGAGCCAGCCCAGGGCTCCACAAGGGGCTGCTGGGCCCGGGTTGTTGTCCGGAACACCACTGTCTGGCTGCTTCTCGGCCAGCCCTGAGAGGGTGGACAGCCAGCCAGGAGACTGCACATCACCCACCCACCCTCACCCCGTATCCGCTACAAAATGAAAACGCTAGGCCCTTGGTTCAAAAGTCGTTAAGCATTTCAGAATATTAAACCAAGTGCAGCCCCTCTGAAACTTCACAAGTTCCACAGCCATGAAGCCCACCCAACCATTAAAGCTCATTAAACTTGAACTGCACTTCAGGTTAACTTAGGGGTTACCTGCTATGGCAGAGCCACTGTCCCCCACCTCCTGGTTTGCCAGAATAAGGGAGGAGGCAGGGTCGTTTGTCTCACCCTCCCACAGGACCTACGGAGTGGGGAAGTGAGTTATCTATGCAGACTTGCTAAATCTCAGCCTCTTTCTGCAGCTCTGACACCCACATCCTTCTCCAGGGCATGGGGGGAGCTGGGGTAACACCTGAAAGAAGTAGGTAAGGTGGGGTCGTTAGAGGAGTTTCTGACACATTCTCAGTGGCTTGTCTCCGTTTTCCCTCTGATACCTAAGAGATAGGAGTTCAGGTCTTAAAAGAGGTTGCAAATGGTAGTAGTATCGGAAAGTCTCTGGGAGCGAGCTGAAGTTCTGGGTATCAGGGATAGGGTGGACCTAAAGATTTGCTTTCCAGTTCTCTGTTTGCTATTTTATTATCGTTAAATGATGCGCTCCCCACAAATGAAAGACTTGGGAAGGATGGACAGGAGGAAGACCTTCCAAACTGTAAATG